ACAATTATATTGTTGTTTAACACCAGGGGTGATGAATAGCATTACTCGGAACAAAGTTAGTCATTGTACAAACAAAACAGTGAAGAATCTTTATGATCTATTTGACCTAGAGTGCTTCTAGGTAGCAAGGGCATAAATGAATACTAACTTAAAATAAATCAAAAGATCAAGATAGTAAAACTGTCTAAACTTTAAAACAAAGAATGTACTAAAAATGTTATCATATGACACTTTCGACAATTTGGGTTTGCAATCCAAGTGCATCGTAAGCCTCTACTTTGTTGTTCTTTAATACAATGTATGTAGTGCCCTATCAAAGCGAAATTTCACAGTCTAGCAAGCAAGCGGGAATGTCCTCACAACTTGGTCATTTTTGGGGGCTCTGCACAACAATCTGCAACAAACGGTAACATGACTATGAGAATATGAAAATTAGTCGAGTTCTCAATGTCATTGAAATATTAAAAATGCAATCTGCAATCAGCCTGCCCAGGTGCCCTTCAGGTATCTCCAACCGTGACCCTTCATTAGCAACAGTATAAACTACCTGCGCAAGCGTAAGAGACGAGGGAATATAAAGCATTGTGATGGTTAATTATACAAATGCCAAAAAGGAAGTTAGCTTGCAGAAAAGCTAAAATAATTACAACGCCGAGCTAAAAGGGCGTAGCATACCCGCTCAAGTGGTATGCCATCCCATGTTTTGCTTAGAGTGCATAGGCAGCATAGCTCCCACATTATAACCCCAAGGCTGGAAAATGAAAATGTCACATTTCTCTGTAAAGGGTTCATTACGAATAACCTCTGGAGCCATCCATTCTGGAGTCCCTGCTGAAGAGGAGTCCCTTATTGGTGCATCTATCATGGTTCTTCAAAATTCAAAGTCGCATATCTTAACTGTCCAGAGCCCGTTGACAAAGCAATTTGCACTTTCAAGATCACGGTGGACTAGAACCCTGGAGATGTCGCTCCATGGAGTAGACAACAACAAGAGATGTAAATGGGTAAAAAGCAACTGTAAGTCTACAGATAACTAAACATCAATGAGCGACATTTTTTTATCAGTATACGAAGTATATGAGAAGAATAAGATAAATTTCATATTTCAGGGATGACTCTGCAACCCGTTACTTAATCCCGAGAT